TGACGCAGGAGGGCGTCAGCAGAGGGAAAGTCGGGAAATCATGATTATTTTCAGACCAAAGTTTGAAAGAATCATTGTCAAATAGTTTGATACTTCATAGTTTGTTATCTGAAATGTTATACCAGAGGAGACTGGAATAAATATTACTGTCACCTCTAAGTGGTCCTCTCTGTGCCCAGACATCCGACATATTTGGTGTGTGACTGTCTACATATGATAGAAATGTCTGTGTCTTTGTTGCTGGCAAAGTGGCCAGAGTGTAAGCTTAGTGTATTTCTGAATTTGGCTGGCTCCAGCCCAGGTTAACGTGGAGAGATAATACACTGTATCACATACTCTGTGTGGTGAATATGTTACCATCACAATGTAGGTACAGGTTACTGCTGTTCCGAACTGGGACTTAGCTCCAGTGATCCAAAAAACAACCTTTAAAGGCAAAAGCTTTTTGCCAAAAAGGAAAATGCACAGAGTATTATCATCTATACTTAACATTACAGGGTGGTGTTCATCTGTGAATGTCAGCAGAGGTGAAGGTGGCAGACTGATTACACATACAAACATATGAATCTTAGACCTACACTAGAGATGAAGGTGATGACTCATCAGTCTAGAACAGATACAGGGAACTCTCGTCAGCGAATAAGGCAAAGAGCAAAAACCTGTGATTATAAAAATGCAACATTTTAATAGAAAATACGGCACATTTTGACCCCACCCCACCACCCCCAAAAACATTAAACACTAGCTCCTCTGACTTAAAAAAGAGAAATACCTTATACTTGATCTGATACCACCCCCATTCAATATAAAGCTACAACCAAGAGATGCTTATTTGACCTCAGCATAAAGACTGAAAGCAGAAGGAGGTTTTTCATTTTTCTTTTTGGTTTTTGTGTAGATTAAAGTAACAAGATCACATTTATTAGTAGTGAGCTTTAGAGGTGCTAAATGATTTATGTCTCTTGTGTTTTTCTGTTGAGGGATATTGGAATTATGATAAAAAAAACAAAACAAAAAAATACTTCTGGACAGCTGGGCCTTCCACCGAATATCGAATAGTTGTCCTGTCAACAAGGTGTTTTAGATGAAAGATTGACAGAGGGAGTTTGGAGAGTAAGGGATTCAACGCGTCTTCTCTTTCTCTCTGAATGGGCAAACTGCAGCCGCACAATGAAAATTAGGCATTTCACTTCAAGTCACAAAGTTCTGTAATCCATCACAATAATGGGCTATGATTCATGCATTTTAGATTGCAGCACTAAATTGGCTTAAGTGACAATAGAGACACTGTCTCTAGAGTGCACACATTGTCCAGACAGACAGATATGTGTGGATATGGGCATTAATAAGCTTATTTCATTCAGCAGATCCTCCATCCATGACTCAGTTTTTATGCATTAGCTATTAGTCTCCTCCTATCCTCAGCAGAATTGTGTGTGAAGTTGACTGCCTTCAACTGTCCTTCAATAAATACCCTTCTGATATTGCCTTGTGTTAATGTAAGGGTGTTTATATGTGTCCACCCATGGATTTATGAAATTATGTCTGCCTGTTTGATAAACCAGGAGTGAATGTAGTTTCTCTTTCTGTAAAGAAGTGAATATCTAAACACTGGCATTTTACTTTCCTAAATAAAAATGTTTCATCTATGTGTTCTTGTATTTCAACGCTGTGAGAAATATTCCCCCATATGTCTTTGTCACTCCATTTCCATCACCATAGTGCATCCGGTTCCTGTTTTTGGCTGTGTGGTGTTACCCTCCCCTGCACCTCTTTCATTCTGCAGGTTTGTGCTTTTGGCTAGCGGTGGTCAAGGTTTGCCTTGTCAGACCAAACCCTTACTCCCGATAGACCAATAAATCAAGTCATCAAGTCAAAGATGAAGAGCTCTGGTTGAGAAATTTGGTGTAAGACAGAAAGAAAAAGTAAAATTAGAACCAGGGCATGACATGATGATGCATCAGTCTTGTTTTTTGTACACACTCACACTAAAACTATTGATGGTATCATTTTATTTTTTATGTCCATAACATCGAAAAAATGCGAATAATTTACAGGCATTTTCCAATAATGTTTGTTGGAACTGTAATTTTACCAGCTAGGGAAAACTGAGGCTGTGCCAAATTCCTCCAGTTCATTACTTCCAAATAACTGTTAGCTTAACCTGGGTGCTTTAGTCAGTGCACAGTATGTTAGCTAAACATGCACAACATGCGAAATGTGCCTACGATTGAGCGCACAAATAGACATTACCATATGATCTCAGTGGCTGTTTTTACACAGTAGGTCCCTGCATGAAGGAGCCTGATACCTGTTCTGATGATGTAAGACTTTTGTCAAGGGCCTTAGGAGAAGACTTGGCAGCAGAGATCCTGATGTGATGTGCAGCTTCCCACAATCCCACTGGGCATCTGGAACAGAGCAGTAACTGTAGGAATGCCAGTATGTGCTAAAACAGGGAATAGAGTAAGTTCAGGAAGGTTAGGGCTGTGACACACAGTATAATGTCTCTAATGAGCTCATCTGAAACATAAATTTAACAATATCAAATGTAAGTTTTTTTGTTTACTGCTCTCCATCTGAATTTCTGAAAAAGACTGAGCTGCAGCAAAGACATTTCTAGCCAAAACATAGAAATATCTGTTTTGAGAATTACTTGCACAAAGTGATAACACAGTACTTCTTAAACCTTTTAAGTGATCACTTCCTAAAACAAATCATCTTTCATTGGAACATTTTCAGTTATCAGTATGTAGCTTTACATCTCTGTTAAAAAGACTTGCCTTTTAAAATGTACCATAAATGTACTCTACTGCTTTATTATTTTGGTTATCACGTTTCTTAGTTTTGTATATTGTATTGGGTTCTGTTTGTTTGTTCAGAATGCTTTAAAAAGCACTTGCTAACCTGATATAGAAAGACCCAACATAAACATAGTTTATATTATAATTTTATTGATGTTATTTGGTGAAAATGTCCTGAGAACTGTTATCAGACAGGCTGAAATTGCCTCAAGTACATGTTTAGTGTTTAGGAAATATTTTTATCATGATTTTCTGGTAATGTCATTTGCATTGTTAAAAAATGACTAAAATATTAACTGAAGATTTTTTGAGAGGTGGGATAACTTAAATGTGTGTAATGTTGGAATAATAATGTTTATTACTGATGTTTTCAGTTGTCACTCTGAAACTAAATGCTGATGAAGGACGGTGATCAATAACTGATACAGGCTGACTGATGACTCACTGAACGTGAGACTCAGAGTGAGTCACGGAGTCACTGGCCTTTAGTCACTGTCCAGGAGATATTGCATTTGGTAAAGTATGAAAGCATAAAATTCATTATACTTATGATTAAAATATTCAAATTTATATTTAATATGTCAGAATGAATTAACAATTAACAGTCATAAATAAAAGTATATCCTACTTTAGAAAATGTGTATCTATGCATGCAGAATATGTGTAATAAAATATATCACAGTGACTCATCCATAAGCACACACCGACAGGTCATCTATCAGTCTGTATCGATTACTCCAGTTGTTCTTCTTCTCTCTCTTCTCTTTATTGCATTACAGTGTGTGCCTAGTCACAGGGTGACTCAACCAGCAGAGACCGCTGTCGTCACAGGACACCACCGCCAGGTACCACCACTATACTGCTTTCAGTATACAAAGATACAGGGAAGGATAACACTTCAAGTCCCATTCAGCCATTACAAGCAGTATCAAGTATAAACATCTGATAAATGCTTAAAACACTTGGTTCTAGTTGTAAGCAAGTATAAGCTCATTTTAGGTGTTCATATAAAGTATCTGTTAACTATACTGTACTTATAACAGACTACAGTATATACTACATTTTTCAGTTTCGATATTTTCAGCTCAAACCTCAGTACATACAGTAAAAAACTGTGAATATTAGCTATTAATGCTGTAGACTCTGTAAAAATCTACATGTGAAAACATGCTTTAAGCTGCACCTAATGAGGATAACATTGTAATATATACAGAGTCCTGGCCAAGTGTGGCTTATACAACCGCAGATGTTGGGAACCGAAGCAGGAGCCAACATAAACTGTATAGAAACAGTGAGAGGGAACCTTTGAGAAGGAAAGCAAAATCAGTGTCATCATTTGAGCTCATTTCCTTTCTGTTCTCCAGATATAAACGCTCAGCTCCCATTGTTGCCTGCACAACATCTGCTTATTCACATTCTTTTATTTGCACTAAAAAACATGTTGCAATTGGATGGCCTGTTATACGGTGCGGTCAAAAACACCCACAGGAAGTCAGAAACAATGCTTATGACCATATGTATGGGATTCATATGGGTTTAACCTATAGTACAACAGAGGAGCTTAATTCGGTGTTGTTTTATTTAGGGGTGAATCTGTGGATCCAAACAATTTCTAAGTTGTCACAAGAGTTGAAATGTTTTACATTCATAAAACTGACCTCTGTAGAATAGAAAGTGAAAAATGATTTTCATATTGAGAATGCTAAGTGAAATTTTACCAGTCTCTTACAGCATGAAAAAATGGAAAGCAAACTGAGCTGGAAGTCTCCCAGAAAACAGGGTGTCTCATACTGCCCTCCAGTGGTGTACTAACATTATTATACACTTCTTAGTATTGACCTGGACATTTTACTGCAGTGTTCAAACTGTAAAATAACTTTCCTCACTGCACTCGACTTCTTCCAGATACATGGTGCAGCAAATCCAGTGTATATTGCCTTAACAGCTTAAAGTTAACGATGGCTAAATTAAATTTAGCTTCTTCAGTTTCAGGGTCCAGCTACCGTGCATGATGAGTCATTGCCACAGTCACTGTAGTTCACTGGGACATCTGAATAGAACAGATCCACTGTTAATATTATTAGTAATAACAGTGTTAAACGCCCCTTCCCCAAGAGCGTTACTGTTCTTTGGTGGTCCTTTATCTAAATAAAGCACTGTAACATTCACAGGCCTTGAAATCATGAGTCTCATTAATGTAATTCAAAAAGCCTTTATCTTGCATTATCTTCTTTGTACAATTTAGCACACTTTAAAACAATAAATACAAAACAGTTAACATCCCCTGGTCCATAAAAATTTCATAATGTACAGTATATTCATCAGAACCATCCCAGAAAACTTAACAGAAAGACATCCAGTCCTCAGACTTACGATCCTTTTCATGGTCACAAGAAGGAATCTACCTTCTGTCTCCAAAATTCAGGACTAGCAAAAGTTCCTCTCAGTAAAGCCCTTTAATGGATTTTAATGAACAGAGGGATCAGTCATTCTTCTTTCTGCGAGCCTTTTGTTTCAACTGAAGGGTCTTCAGCTCAGTCATAGTGGAAAAGGTCCTGTACACCCACACCATCTGTAATCATGTAACACACACAAACAGTTGTGAGCTGTGTTTTTTTTTATATGACTTGACAAAGTGGAAAATACACAGTAAAACTTACCACAATGATGACAGTGTTGAGCAGAAGAGGAACTGAGTAGACCAAGGATATGAACATACCCTTGGAATCAAAGTACTGAAAGTTAGAAAAGGACCTGCAAAAGATAAGAGCATTTTTTTAAATACTACGTGTCCAACACAGATTGCAAAGCTTAATATTGCAACATTTTACACTCAGTGGTCTTAATGCCTTCCTATAGCAGTCTTACCTCCATTTCATGGCAGCCAGTTCATTCAGATATTCAGCACCATACACCAGGCCAACTGTGGAGAGATGTTATGTCAGTCTGGGATCCATGACAAGCACAGTCTTATGTGCTTCAGGAGTGACACTGTTTGTTTGCTGGAGACAACCTCCACTGTCTTTACTCTGGTCATGTAAGCATCAGGTCTCATTTACCATTCAAAATGAGTTCCTTATGAACAAATCCAAACACAGCAGACAGAATTTTCTGGTACTTGATTTGCAATAAGATAAACTAACAGACCACAGCGACAGGAACAAGGTACACATACAGAGAAAAATACACATACATAAAAAAATGAGTTAAACAGTTTTACCAAGTATGCAGTTTGCACTGGCGTTTCTGAACAAAGTGACATTTAGAAAGACTACACAGAGACTTATCCTAATTTGTTACTAGAGTACTGCATTTTAATCATGGGCACACAGATTATGAGATTGATATTTTTGCATACATACTTTATGTTATCCAAAAAGATATTACAAATATCTGATCTACAACTGATTTTAGAGAAGCACACTTAGTAGCAATCTGGAAATATACTGGAGGGGTTATATACAGTAAATTCTCAGTAAGTCAGCATCAAGCATTAATGAATTAGTAGCTGACATCCTAACTGAGCTTGTACTTATATAAATAATGTGTTGCAGTTATGAAGTCACTCCCATGCCATACGTCAGACCTGATAAGCAGAATCAATAACACTGGCAATCAGTAGTCTTCATAAACTAAGATGATTATTTCACGTATCTTTCTTCTCCACGTACCCATTAGCAGGAAGTGGCAGATCTGAGCTCGGTAGTATCGGCAGGTTATCACAGTCAGGCCCAAACACACAATATGAAACACCAACAACCCGATAATCCAAGGCTCCGACCACTGCACCTAAAAACCAAGAACACGCAGCTGTTAGCTGAAGCGGTTTGTTAGAAATATAACGCCCGAATACTCTCTCCTCTAAAACCAAAGGGATTATCCATCTGGCTATTAGCTGTAGTAGCTAACATAGCGCTAAACTCCCAAAGACTTTACTTACAGACATGAGAAATGTCCATATTGACGTTATTCTTAAATTACTGAATCCGTCGATGGGGATGGAACTAATATTCTTTGCTTTCTGGTCCGTCATCTTCAGAAAACACTAAACTGACCACTGCCTATAATTTAGTTGAAGCAATGTAACGTTAGCCCACCTTCTTTAGCTAACTTCTCATGTAAACACGACAAGGCGGAAGAGGAAAAAGGTCTAATGTCGCAGATAAATAACGTCACGAATGCGGCAACTGTAGATAGTCTTTATTTTAAATTAAAAATTTAAAACATTTTAATCATACAAAAATGTAATAAAGCAAAATGTTACTATGAGCGATTACACATGCGTGTATATGATGTATTGTTGTACAAAATATATACAAAGTTCTGATGCTTATTATTTAAATTATATGCTATATATACACTTTTTATATAATTTGACCATTTTATATTGTGACTATATCTGAATGAAATAACATTTTATCTATTGTCTCCCAAGTGCCCATGCTAAAGAACTCTAAATCAGTTCAAAATATACTGGAAAAAATACGTTTGATCCTTTCCTTCTCAAACCCAGATAGGTGACACCTGTAATTCATATCAAGTTGAAAACACTCAACTTCTTGCCAATCTTGTGTAAGTCATTAGGGCATCTTTGTGGTCCGTTATCAAAAGTGGCAGAAAAACACCTTTATGCAGAAATGCTAAATAAGAGCATTTTGTAAAAAGCTGTTGCACATTTCATATTTTATTACACTCCAATTTAGAAATATCATGACAGTAAATATTCCTGTCATTCCCATCCTGTTGTGTCTGCCACATTCCCATGTTATCCTTCTGAATGCATGCATAATGTTTACTATTTCATTGTTCTGCTTAAATTTGTTGTTAAAAAAATGTTTAAAACTGCTTGGAATTTTGACCAACTGCAATTGCAGGCTGGTTGCTTTAGATTGTTTACAATAACCAAAACAGTCCACCTGTGAAAAAAAGGCACATATGCTTTCTGTATCTAAATATATGATTCTGAGTTCATAAGTACTTATGGAGAGTAATGAAACAGGTTGCATGCAATGAGCAATTTCAGAGACACTCCATCTAATTTTATCACATTTCTGCAAATCTGTTTTTTTGGGACAGAGCAAATATTATCACCACAGATTACAACCAAAACAAGACATGAAGATTTCAAAATTAACAGGTAGTTATATCAGCTCAGGGGTTACAGGTGTATATAATGAAATTAAAGATGGTTGAATATATCATTGTTAGTAATTGTTCTTATCACTAACATCTGAGCTTTTCCTACTGTGTCAAAATGTCTTTTTTGAAAAATGCTTATTTTACAAAGAAACAACTTTAAAACTGATTTGCTTATACTACAATAAATGTGAAATAAATTTTTGATTAAAATGTCTGGAAAAGAAAAACAAAAAAGTGTCATTTTAAATATGGAAACATAAACATCAAAAGTCTTTTGTGTTCAATTCATTATGAAACTGCAGGAGATCGCTGTGTCTCAGCTCAGATCTTGGTTTCTGGCTGGGTGAAAGTCAGGGGCAAAAGTAGCTGCCACTGTCATTGGAGTAGAGTAGCCAAGGGCAAAGTTGTACAGGCCAAGCATGACACATTTCCAAGTGCAGCGCAGGGCCTTGCCAATATTCTGAAAGACAGTCACAGATTGTAGATTTTAACAATACAACAACCCACATTATTCTAAATCTGTACAATAATTTAGTGCAAGATGCAAAGGTAAATTAATCTTGATAAAGGCTGAGTCCAAGCTGCACTTTTTTTTCCTTGCAAAACTCCTGCACAATCAGATTGTAATAGCTTTTATTCCCACATTATTCAAATTATAGACAGTGTTACAAAGCTTTACCGGTGAGTTACGAATTGGATCCGGACATGAGCTGAACCAAAAGCTTTTAACGAAAAACTGCATATGTGGTGTCTTAGAACAATAGCACAGCGGGAGGAGAGGCTTGGTCTGTTTTCCTGCCTAAAATATAAACAAGGAGGCATGAACACTATTGGTTCCTGTACCTTTGAGCAGGAAAAGGGCTGACCAGCTGAAGCGGATACAGGAACTCAGTCTAACTATTGAGCAAAACTGAGACCATGCAGTAACAGTAAAAAAAAAAGAACCATATGCAGTACATATTATTTTATGATATATGATTTGTAGAGTAAAGGTTATAATAAAGTTATTAAACAAGTTATAATAAAGTAATATTAAATATTTTCAAGTATAAAAAAAAAAGTTTAACAGTACCACCAAAACCTTTTTTATGGTTTTCTTTTCAAAAACAACCCTATTTCCTCTATGTACTACAAAGGTGTACACTGTACATGTGGTAGGCATCTGTTTGGAAGCTGAGTATATTACTGCACTATTATAATATAAAATAGTATATAAACAGTACCATAAAAAATACATCTGTAATATTAATTTGATAATAGTGTCACTTAATCTCTGCTGGGATAAAATCTGATCATACATAATTCATTTTGGTGAGTGCTGAACAATTCACAATGAAGAATTCAGCTGTCCAAATATTTTTCCAACAAGTGATTACCTCAATAATCACAAGCCTAAGCCTGATTTAATGGAGCGTTTGGGTTGATTATGGAGTACCACCACAGGACACAGAGTACAAAAACAGTCCACACACAAAAAAAAATTTAATTTACCCCCACAAAAGCTACAAAGTTATGAAATGAATTAAACTACTACTGTAACAAAAGAATACCCAGTGTTTTCAGTATTTAAAACATCAAAAAAGAACACCAACCTTTCTTACTTTCTTGTACTTTTCTTTCTTCCTTTTCTTCTTCTCTTTTGCCTTGAGTTGTTCCTCATCATCCAGTAATGGTTCATACCTCTCTGGCAGAAAGGAAAACTGTATTTCTCTGTGGTGCTTTTTGTTTTGTCTGTTGTAGTTTGCCACTTGCTCACTGTAGGCAGACTGATCCAGATCCTCTGAGGGATCCACGGAGTCCACATGTCTTTGATATTTTGCAGCTCGAGTCTCACCTGATGCTGCCGCTAAATTTCTGTCAAACAACCTGGATGGAAGAGACTTAGGCTTCATGTTGTCTAATTGTTGCTGCAGATAAAGGGAGAGAATCAAACTATACCCCTTTCCTCGGGTCAAGGATGTTGTCAACAGATGTTTTGTGCATGAGTGGAAGTACATTCCGTTGGACCGCCTTGTCTGGGGGATTTGGCAGAGAGCCCTTAAAGATGCAAATCCTTCCTCCTGACCCCAACAGGTCTCAAGACTTATCAATTGCATCATCAGTATAACTGATGAAAAACAAACATTACGTTTGTGTCCTGTCACACTGTGGTAAAAAAGAAAAACACCCTGAATCATTAGCAAGTTAGCAGTTTCATCAACACAAAACAAAAGAAACATCATGCTTTGTTTTAACAACCTTATCTGACATAATGCTGGAAACTAGCAATGTTGAGTTGATATCAGCTCAAAAAGAAACTATTCCACAATTCAGAAGTGAAAAAACTCTCCACTGGAGTCTTTATTAAATACTGAAGTAGAGACAGGTGGCAAATTAAGAGGAATAACAAAAAGGGTAACAGTCCATCCATAAGCAATTTCCTTAAAAACTGCACCTTTGTATCAGTTGTATAGTAATTTATCAGTAAATACAGTCACACATTAAAAAAACCCACATAAAGTGTCTTAGTAGATTGTAGGGTCACCATGTGCCACTAGAACAGCTGCAGTTTGCCTTGGCATTGATTCTCCACATCTCTGAACTCTACTGGAGGGATGAACACCAGTCTTCCAAAAGATATTCCCTCATTTAGTGTTTTGATGATGGCGGTGGAGATGCTGTCTAACACAGTGCTCCAAAAATCTCCCATAGGTGTTCAGCTGGGTTGACATTTGCATAACGTATGACTCCAATCATTTTCCTTCTCATCAAACCATTCAGTGACCTCTTGTGCCCTGTGGATGGGCATTGTGAAGAGACCGCTCATTTATTCAGGTTTTTCTTTCATTTGTCACCAATCTGTTTGTTTTCATACATTAAAACAAAAACAAAAACAAAAAAAAACGCCAATACTGCATTGTCTCTTTCACGATGCTTTTATGTATATCAATGATAATAATAATTAATAATAACAGAACTTTAACCATCCTTGCTGTGGCCTGTTCCAGTGTCTCCACGTTAAACTAGGCTAGCGACATTACTAGTCATCATTTTCATTTCTTTCTGTGTTGTTTTGGCCCCGGTCTGGATCTTTCAGACGGAGGATTCTGATGATTTTGCTCACTGGAAGGTTACTGAAAAAGCAGAATAGAAAAGCAACAATGATGACAGTGTGGGTGTCTCTGAGGTTAAGTGGAACCCAAGCAGCGGACTAAAAATGACATTACCTTTACTCCTGAATGGATCAGTCCATCAGAATGTATTTACTAAGTTAATATACAGTCACTATACCAGTAATCTGTGTCTAGGTGGTCAAACTGCTTTGATATACAACAAAAGGATGCTGGATTATTACCCCATGCTTTGCGGTGTGAGGAAAATGAACTGTCTGTAGCGCTGACCATCAGCCACTTTCAGCATCATGTCCATTGATATCCTTCTGTTCACCATGTCCTAATTGAACAAAACAACAAAGATTCATGTTATGTTTTGATAAATCAGGCTAAAAGTGACTGTATGGTTTAAGTCAAGCTATAATACCTACGGTAATTGCAACTATGACTAGAAATGATTTCAGTTCACCATCTAGACTTAACAATATCAATAAAAGCTGTCTCTTGTTACCATGTAAACATCAAACTCGTCAAGGCAGCGGAAAGGGGCCTCTGTGATGGCCCAAAGAGAGAGAACAAAGCAAACAGTTGAGAAGGAGCGCTCGCCCCCGGACAGAGAGCGCATGTCACTCAAGTCAGCCTTGTTTCCTTGTCCTGGCTGCACCTACAGTGGAGAGGATAAGGAGTCTAAGTCAGTTTTGTGCAGGGGATATCTGCTGTGGGAGGCTGGTGTATTATTTGACATATGAATTAAATGTTCTTACTGAAATGGAGAGGGTTTCATTCTTGTGGTCAAACGTCATACTTCCAGTGTAGCCTCTCTGGGCCAGCATGCTGTTAAAGTAGTATTTACAGCGGGCTGAGAGGAACCTAAGACAACAAGAGATACAGAGAAGAATGGGGGGGAAAGATTGAAAGAAGGGGATGGAAAAAGAATGAGAAGAAAAGCAATAAAATCTAGCCACGGCAAAGGTCGAGTGTTTCACAGGGAACTGATGCTACATTCAAGTCTTTTCATTTTACATTTTCTCCTCAGATGCTGTGAAAGGTGCACCAATAGCTGTAGTTCACCACTTGCCTCCTGAGCTCTGCATAAACTTGGAGTCTCTCAGTCATAACGGTTTCCAGACATCTGATGAAGGTGTTGAGATTCTTCACCTGCTGTGCCATGCTTTTGTAATTTCCCAGCGCCTCCTGGTACTGCCTTAATGTGGGGAAAGACATGTCAAACCAATGTCAGTGCCAGGAAAATTTAACTATACCTTAGTTACTGCACTACCTGCCAGTTGTATTACCATTATTTAGCCCAGAGGTCAAAGTAACATACCTCACCACCTCCTCACGGTCCCCCTGTTGTTCCTGCTGGGTAGTGATCTTAACCTTGAGACGGTTGATCTCGCTGTCCAGACTCCTGGCTGTCCGACGGACTTCCAGCCGCTCTGAACTGATCTCTGTAGCCTTGGCCACAGACGTCTGAACCGCGGGGTGACAAGTCATAAATGTGGACAGATGAAGATTGCTACTGTTAATATAGAAAATGACCGGTCTTATCCTTTAATCAAAACATTGGCATAATATTATGCATAGTAGATAAACTTGGCTTCAAGGTTACATAATGTTCACATCACCAATTTGTCTGGATACTGAATCGCTGAACGTGCTGAGTGTTAGGTGCACTGTTAATTTTAACACCCAAATTTGATTTAGTTTGTCTTTTGATTTTTGTTAGTTTTACAATAAAACCGTAATTTTCATAATTTTTAAACAGCATTTTTAATATCTACTGTGTATCTTCTCCATCCTGGTTGTGTACAATTACCATGGTTACACGTATTGTTCTCATATTTTGTGAGGTTTGTGGAAAACGGTGCTTTATTCACACAGCGTCCCTCTGCTCTGCAGATGTTGGACTTGCTCACATTTGTTACATTAAAACAGTGAGATCTCTGCAGCGAACGTTCCTTTCAGTTGGACATCTTGTGTGCTGCTATCAGTCAGTTCTAGGAATAATATGGGCAGGCAACTATAAATCATCTTTTATGTTACATCTAGATCCACAGTGTTTCATGTTTAATTATCCTACCCTGTCATTAGTGTGCTGCTGCACTTTCCTAGTGTGTCCCAGCAGTTTTTGTGTGTAATTCTCTGGATTGTAGATGAATATGATTCATAAACCTGTTTCTTTCAGGAAACGCTAACGCCAGAGACAGAATGTTACCGAATGTAAAACAGTAGTTAAACACATTAAGCGGATAATTCAGCTCCTGAACAAGAGATATTTTGGCTGGTGGAGGAAACAGTTTTATTGATCAGTACCTACGGTTTGTGATTCCACAAACGTGGCAGGTTGTTAAATTACTTCATGTTCATTTGTCCATCTTTGACATTATCCTTTACTTTTTATTCACTGTTGAAAACTAAAACATTTCACCATAGTTCTTCTTATGAAATGTTACTTTTTATTTAGTTTTCGTCCTGAAAAACAGGTCGCCAATCAATATTTTTTGTCATAGTTTTCAATAATAAAATTAACACTGATTAGGTGAAGGGGTGTGAAATGTTGTGAACATTTATCTCTGATCTCTACTACTTCCACTAAAAGTAAGGCCATTCTCCTCAGGTTTAAATAGCAAAAGGAAATAAAATCTGTCTTGTGTTGTGATGAGCCCCTCTGTCACCCCTCATATCTCTGCATGGTTTACCTCAATTGCCTGCTCCTTGCTTGTCACGTTAGTTTCCAGAGCCTGGATGGTCTGGAGATGGGCACTGCGCTTCTCCTCATAGTGTTTCTTATGATGCTTGCATTTCATCAGGTCCTGGTCAGTCTTATTCAGCTCCTCCTGTAGTAGGACAAAAGGACAAGCATACAACAAATAACCACGTTCACTACGCCAATTAGCCTGGAGCTGGTTTCTGCTGTGGGCAAGACAAACTGCTCAGAATAATCACCAAAGGGATACAATGACTTTTGGGCACAATTAATATCTTCTTCAAATAGATCATTTTACCTCAACTAAAATTGTTATTAATTATTTTAATCTTAAGTCAATGCAAATTTAAAAGAAGCTTTTTGTAACTCCCTCACAGCAAAAGACAGGAGATCTAATTGAATGTAATAAAGGCCAAGAGAGTTAATCTAAATGTGTCTTTTATCCCAGTAAGTGGACATGTTTCAGCCCGACTCTGTCAACATTATTACCTTGACTGGATCGGCTTCCTCAGCAATGGTGCTGATCCGCTCTTTGTGCTGCTTGTACTCCTGCTCTGCCTTCTCATAGGAGGCCTTGAGTTCAGCCATCTGAGTTCGGGCGTTATCGTACTCGGCACGCTTGGATGAGATCTTAGTAACAATCTCCTCAAGATCCTCCTCCTGTGGTGAAGTGATGACAGCAACAAATCACTATTACTCAAGAATTTTTTGTAACATTTTAGCAGCGGCACATTAAAACGAGTGTCTCTGCTTGCTGATCCTAACAAAATACTACTGGCTTCTATGGAGATCATATATTTGATGTGTAACAACTTGTGCCATATATCCTCTAATCTACTGAGCTGACAGGTGCAGTCATGTGAATAACCTCTATCTATTGCACTATATTGAAGGGGTTCTGTACAAACCAGGGGCTTGAGGTCCTCTGATTGAGGCTCTTCCACATTCTGTAGGTCTGTCAGCTCCCTTTGTAGTTTTCTGGCATTTTCCTACAACAAATATGCAAACTTTATCAGCTACTTCACAGTCTGATCATTTCATAATATCCTGGGGTCAGAAAGAGATTAACCCTGATTTCTAAGAGGTAAAATGGTTACCTCGGCAGTCTTCTGCTCCCTTTGGGCTCTTCTCAGTAGCGTTTCATTCTGTCTGATTTCTTCATCTAACCTTGTCATCTGCTGCTGGAAGCGTGCTTCCTGAGCTTGATTGTTCTCTATCTCCCTCGTCAAGTGCCTGAGAGGAAAAAAGAGGAACCGAGAGAACAGAGACAGAAAGGTAGAAGGTAGGGGAGACAAAAGACAAGAGTACAGGTTTATACAAACACTACCCTGAAATCCCCTGGTGACTAAAGGCAGTGAAGTTCTGGCAGAGTAGTCAGGTAAAGTTGAGTCTAGTTGCATGTTAACATCCATTCACACACACCTGATCTCCTCCTCAACATCTCTTGAGAGGAAGTTGGCTCTATTCTGGTCGGCAGTGTAAACACGGTTAGTGAAGATCTGATCTCCTTCAACAGAGAAGGCCTGGGCACAGTTTTGAGGGGGGCGTGCGCCCTGCATCACCCTTCGAGCCTCAGTGCGATTCTGTACACACACAAAAACCTTGGAATAACACCACACCATCTGAACACTACAATGGTGTGTTACAGCTACAGCAGTAACATTTGAATCTTTTAAACCCAACCCATCAAAACACTAAATTAGTTTTACATGCCCCAGCATCTGTTTGTGTTATGCCATAGTACAACATTACAGACACATCTAACTGGCCTTGGCAGACACTTCACATCAGCTTCAAACACATGGAAACATAGCAGTGTTAGTAATGTTACTAGGACTTCTTTTGTGATGAACCTGCTTGTTACCTTAATGAGCAGAATGCACTCTATACCCCTTTGATCAATTAGGCAGTTGGCCACAACTGGGTCCTCAATTTCTAGAGCTTGAAGCACAGAGGGGTATTGAGGGTGATTCACAGCCCTGATACAAAAGACAAACCAAAAACATTTGGGATTAAAAGTCTTTAGATATTCTTGCACTGGTAAACTAATATTCCATGTAAAATAAATTTATCACAGATTCACCTATGGCTACCTTAAATTCATATCAGGTTAATACATGAAATCTACTTTCTAATGACAAGAGCCACAGCAAAATTAAAACAAAGAACAAAGTCTGTGAAGGAGGAAACCTTTAAGCCTGATATTTTTGATTCCCAGCCAATGTACTACTAAACCAGAAACAAGCTTTTAACAGATGTTTTGTAAATAACAGACATGTCCTTACCTCCTTCTTGTATCATGAACATATGGAAGGAACTGGCTGGTAATGATGGTAGGTCTGCGTTGGAGCACTCTGGCCATGAGGCCCTGCAGCACCCTCTCATCATCATGATTGTCACAGATGAAGGCCTGCAGCTGGCCTTTAAGACATACCTCTACAGCAAGAGCCATCTCTGGGTCCCTCAGGTTAATAAGGTGACCTGCAGAAGGGAAGGAAATACAAGAAGAAAAGGCCAGTTATAGGGACATTTCTGTCACTTTCAGAAAGACAAAGTGACATTATCTGGGATTTTAAACCTGGTCAAACGTAGGTGCCCAAAGAAGGAAGAACACATCTCTCCCACCACCATAAATTTCGTTGCTCTCAGTCTTCAGTATAGTTTAAAATAAGTGAACAATATTCTTATTGATACAACTGTATATTTACATCATTTTGCCATCTTGACTGTTTCATTACTAGTGTTTCTTCTTTAAAAAAAAAAAACAAGGCGTAAAATCATGGTAGAGTGATTGTGTAAATTGTGATTCAAAGGACTGAAAAAGAGTAAAAGCCTGGGTACTAAACATGTCACTTGAAGTTTCACACCTGGGCATCAAGCCTTACCTAGAGGTCCTCTGGGTTTGTGCTTGAATTCACCCCTTCTGTGAGCTTCCTCGATGGCGTTGAGGAGTGCGGGCATGTGCTCTCCAAAACGCCGCAGTCGATTGGTGCGACTGCTCTCCATATTCCGCAGGTCCCTTTTGCTGGCAGCAAGAGTATTCTGGAGTGTGATATGCTCTCTCCTGAAAACAGAAGCAGGTTCACGTCTTATGTCAGTGGCTATTACTAATTTGTGTAATTGGTCAAGGTCAAAGTGTTTATTTGTCATATGCACAGTAATGAAACGTGTTTCACTGTACAATGAAATTCTTACTTTGCCGATAATTTGCTCCCTGTCAGCCATTAAACTCAATTTAATGGCTGACAGGGAGCTAATTATCTACATAAGGACATCAGTGCCATTTCTAATTTGGGTTTGTCCACCCATCAACCTTTCCTTAGATGTATGATTGATGTATGACTCATTTCTATTTCCTGACCTCATCTTTTCTTGCTCTTCCTTAACACGACTGGAGGCGTTCTGATACTGGTCAATCTGCTGGCACAGAGTAGAAGTCTGGTGACTCAGGCTCTCCAGCTCAGCCTTTATCTGCTCCATACGCTCTGCCCTGGCTTGACTCTCTACTCCTGTTGTCTGACTGATGCTACAGGGAAGAAAAAGGTGATAAGAAAAATTACGGGAAAGACAAAAAGCACATGGGAGTCAACATAAAATGAAGGTAGATTGAATGCAACACATAAGAGACATGAAAATAAAATGAGGTTGTACCTCAGCTTAAGATCATTTATTCTTAAGGACAGCTGAGCTTTGTCTCTTTGCAAGTCTTTGAGGTTAGCGTTGCATCTGTGGACAGTGACCTAGAGTGCACACATAAATGAAGAACAGCAAGCATCGCAGTGATTTAACAGTGACTTTAAACAGCTGTCTTAGACTACCCTATATCTGACAAGATGAAGAAGCAGGAAATCTATTTTGATGGCATGTGCTAGTGCTGATGCAAAAGTTAGGATAATCATAGCTTTTTCCAGTGTAGACATTTTCACTCAAAAATATGAGTGTTATCTGACCAGCATTACTCAAAGGAAGAACATGTTACAAACTGTAATTGCAATTTTGCATTATCAAGTAAGGAAATAAAAAGTAAAGCTATACTACAGATATGGAATATGACAGACAAATCATAAGAACCTGACCTCACTGGACTTGAGATTAGTATTACATCTCTGGGCCTCTGCCTTGAGCTCAGCACATTTCGGTTGGAGCTCATGGACTTGCTGCGTGATCCCTTCCAACTGTTCCTGGATCTGCCTGTACTTCATCTCAGCCTGCTCGACTTTGTTCTATGTGATCATATAAAAATGCATCAGAGAAGCAGGGGATTAAATGCTAGTGGACAGAAGGGGACATGGACAAGTGTAAAGGTGTTGTGTGAGCAAACAGAAGTCGTAATTATTTCATTCCTAGTACAAACTTCATGCCGGGCATAAAAAAGTGAATTTGTCATAATGAGATTAAAAAAGGTGAATACTACAGAAATATTATACCTTCCATTCCTCCACCTTCTCATCATATTTCTCTGTAGACTTTCTGTCTATCTGCAGCTTCTGCTTCATTGGCTCTAACTCCTTCTCCAGCTCCATCACCTGTAGAAATTAAACACACTTTTAGTCATTAACACTGGGATGAGGGATCTTATCTTAAGTTAATGGTTAGTGCAAGTACCCATTACACTAATCCTGCCACACTGGGATGGATGAGCAGAAGGAAAAGTGTTTGAAAGGTCAAACTGAGAAAAACATCTCACCAAAGCCCAAGCCATTTGCTTCCGTAACTCCTCCAGTTTGGTATGCATTTCATCAAGTGATGCCAGGCTCTTGTAACGGTCCTCTTTCTCATGGTACTTTCGCTTCAAGTCTTTTAAGCACTGTAACAGCCAATATACATGGTCATATCAAACTACCACAGCTGACTAGTTCAAGGATTATCCACAGTGAAGTTCTATCCACAATGAAACCTAAAAATTGATTCATGGCATATTGTCGACCGTACTGAACTGGATGGCAGACTAGCTCTTACTTCACTGTGCTGGCCAACTTTATCCTCTGTGACATGCTTTGTGGTTTTGATGTAGACAAAGTCCTCTCTCATCTGTTCCAGTTGTGTGGCTTTCATAAAAAACTGAGCAAGTTATAAAAAATAAAAAATCACAGTGTGTCACAAAGTTTACAAGAACAGATACAAGTTTCTCATTTATGTATTGTAGTCACAAAATGTATCTAAACAAACCTTATACTTGTCCCCCTCTCCTTTGGAATGTAAGAAGTATTTGCTCATTTCTTGAGTGAGAACTGACACAGGATTGTTGACCTTTGGGGGGGGGGAAACACACTAGTAATGACTCCTTGTCACCAGCACAGCAGCACTGGTTTATCTCTCAGGATTCAAATTTGTTACAATGAAGTTTTGTATTTGCATAGCTCATACCTGAATATTAAAATTGTCCAGGATAGCAATGAGCTCTTCCTTTTTGGTTGAGACAATCTGACCTAAAAGAGCAGAAAAAATGGTTATGAATCCTTGATGGTAGGAGAATTAAACATGCAGCTAAAGAAGACTTGCAATTACATACTAATAATGCAAAGCTTTGTATTATACTCAGGGCTTAAAGGAAGGAAATTATCTATGTCTGAAATGTTGACTGGGGGGTGGGTCACACTTGCTAGAGCCAAAGTGTAATGCTTGTCAGTATTAAAGAATGAAAATGAAACACAGTGACAAACTGCTGCTGGCAGTACCAGAGAACTTTAAGCCCTGTGCACTCATTTTATGTTTTACTCTTACCTTTTAGTGGTTTTGTAATTGTGAAACAAATAAACCAAAATGAAATATACAAGCTGTGGCAGCTTACTGACATAAATACTTACAATAAGAAATCCATAACCCCTCATGGTCTTTACCTGATCTGCTTTTCAGTTTATAGGTTCTCATCCCCTCACGTGTTATTCTCAGGTCTATAGTGATGGCTGTACCATACACCTCAGGTTTATAGGCATCCCGTCCTTTGTTCCGCAGGGTGACCGATACATCAGCTGAGCTGAGGTAATGGAGTGACACATTAATATTACTGAAAGTGATGTAACTTGATGTGACACTTTGCACATTTCACATTTATGATGGAACAGAAAAGACATGAGATACTTGATGCATTCTCAAGATTAGTGCTAGTAAGCAAAGAAATCTTAATCAAAGATTCATTTCCACTAGAATTTTTGTAAGGTCCTGCTTGTGGGCAGAAGCAGCCACATGACATTGTATGAATTTTTGCCTAAACTGACAGGCCCTTGAACTACAACATAAAACAGATCATGAGAAAAATAATGTCTACCTTTCTCCTTCTTTCACAAAACCCTTGAGGGATGATCCTCTGTTTGTGGCCTGTGCTTTCCCGCCTAAGGCAACTATGAGGGCAGTCAGGACAGCGCTCTTTCCACCTGTCACACAAGCAGTTTGTGCACAGAAGGAAACAAGATTATAGAAAATTAAATACAAAATAACTACATTGGAGATAAGACAAACTCACAAGAACACACAGATCATGGCAAATTAGTACCAGATATATAGGCAGAGGATCCAGACCAAAGGTCTTAGCAGTACTGATCCCTTTATTGCTTAAGCAAAACACATGGCACAGAGAAAATCTCCTGCAAAGTGCTCCTCACCTCTCTATTCCCCTTTACTTATACACTTGTTCTTATCTGCCTGTCATTCCTTTCTGTGAAAATCCATGTTCTATCACTGTGATTGCACTGTGACACACAAAATAAGAAGTCAGATATAGATTTTCACTAAATTTGTTTTTTGTTTTTTTTTGATTGAGAAATAGTGATGTTTCTTAATTTCATTTCAAAGACCAAACACTTTGCTGATTCTTTTTTTTCTGGAAAGTCCACACTGGTTACATGGTTACACTTACTTCCGTTGTTGCCAACGACAAAGTTGACATTGGGACCAAAAGCAAACGGGCCGAGGAGAGAGTGGCACATAAAGTTCTTCAATGTGATGCTTTCAACAATCCCTGCATCACCCACTCCCTCACCAGAACACTGCACCTAAAAATAAGTTACTCAAGTCAATACATAATGCAAAAGTAATACATTTACTCCGCACTTATCTTTTTCAATATTTTCAGAGAATCGGTTAAAAACAAACAATTAAGTTGGGGGTAACCAAAACATTGTATAACGGAAGCCTGGAAGGAACATATTTTACAGCATGACAGGGAAAGTACATACCTGGTTACCGGGTAAAGGATCATCCTGATCACTGTCAACACTGCTATCCTCTGCTACGGGTTTGATCCGTTTTGGGGGGTTGCCATTGATAGCGCTGCTTTTCCTTTTGGACATCCTTGCCAACCTTACCACTTTGGGTGAGAAACGAAAGTGAAACAAAACATATACTGGTGCTGCTAGCTCAACATTAGATCCAAGCTGTTGAACTTTAAATACTAGCGACTCTCATTCTCCACCTAACACACGATCTCCCCATTTTTTGGCTTTGTTAAATTGCGTAGCGAACGTCTTTCGACAACCGTAAAGCAATACAGTGATTCAAAATTAAACATTGACAATGATGACAACGGTTGCATCAAGTTAGCGCCGTTACAGAACTATCTTAGCTGGCTAATTAACGCTACATGCTAAACAGAAAGCAAGTTAACAACCATCCAGCCAAATAGCAGATAAGTATTTGTGGTTTGTTTAAAATGGTTATAACAGTGTGCAAAGACCGATATGATAGCTTTGACTGCTTACCTCCGATGGTGGCGAATCGCCCAAGTACTTGTCGAATTCGCGCTCACACTTCCTGAGAAATCTCGCGAGATTAGACTTTAGGTTTATGAGCGATTAGACGGAGATTGTTTGCGGTTTCTTAATCAAAAGTTGATCTACACACCAAACATCTATAACTCAAGGTAGATAATTTTACCATCGCTTAATAACTCCCCACTAAACTACAACAAGTATTATTTACCTTTTCATACTTAATGACTATTTTATTTATATGAGTATTTGTTTTTTGTCATCCATCCACACACCTAAAAACTTAAACATAGCAATTCTCTTTATAGGTTACTCATACGTATAAAGACACATAGCAGGAAATCTTCTCTATAATATATATGAACTCTTAGAAATCTCACTTATTTGCCCACTGCACTTCTTGATTCAAAGCATATACTGTACGCTATACATTGTATATTGCAGTTGCCCATCCCCATTCATTTACTTGTGTCTTTTATTTCACACTTAATTTTAAGAAACACCTTTGCTTAATTTTAATGTAAAATGCAATGTATGAAAAGCAAAGTGCAGTTTCTCTAAGAGTGACAATGCCAGGTTTGCCCGGCCACACTGGCCTCTCTCACCTTCCTCACTCTGTCTCTCTCTTTTAGCCTCTGATTGCTGATCATGTACACCTGCGCCTCACCCCTTGATTTTCACCAGCTGCACTTCATTAGTTTACCCTTATAAACCCAGCTCACCTCTCACTCACTTGCCAGTTCGTTCTCAGGCTATTCTTTTCGTCCTCTACATAGATTATTATTTCGTTGTTTGTCTTGTGCTTTCACACCTACAGCGTTTAGTTCGATTGAATCGAACTAGAGTTCGTTTTTCTTCTTGGTGCGGTTCGTTTTGTCTGGTGTGAACACGGTAATCGCGCTCGAGTGCGCACCAAAACAACCGCACCGAGACCCCCAAAATGAGGTGGTCTCGATCCGCATCATCTAGCGAACTCTGGTGCGGTCCTCCTGGTGAGAACGCGTACCGAACCAAACGGGACCAAAGGCCGTGAACCACATGATTTGAGGGCATTGGATTATGGGTAGATTTTATTTCCTGTCACCCAAAACATGCGCCAGGATGAATCGTGGGCAAACTGTACGACTTGGTTTAAGTGGTAAATGCAAGCAACGTAATACAAAATAACCAGGGCGAGGCCCAACCCGCGTGTGTTGACCTCCATCCTCTCTCGTCACAGAAACGTGGACTTTCTTCCCTTTATTTACTTTTTTCTGTTCTGGCGGCAGACACATCTGACCAATAATCGGAGGGAACGTTCTCGCGTTGTTTTACGTGACGTGTTTTTGTGCGCTTTGGATTTTTCTGTGTGAAACGAAACCGAACCAAGGAGACATTGCTACATGTTTGCAGAACTCGTTAACTGATTCGGACCAAAGCAAACAAATTAATCGAGTACCTGTTTAATCCCGCGGACTTCCATTCGTTTTCCTCTTCTAGCCAGCTCCTATTCTCTACACTGACTGTTTCCTCTGGACTTTGGCTCCACTCTACCCTCCCAGACAGGTCGATGCACAGTCACCAGTTCGTTTGCCAGTTCCAACGCCTCTCTGTGTTTTTTCCTGCAGCCACCATCACCCACCGACCAGCCCAGGAGTGACCCCGCGACGCAGCTCGGCCCACCTCACCTATGTTCACCTCCTGCTGCTGGTCGACACCCGGTCACTCCTGTCATTCATTATCCACGTACTTATTTTGTCTGAACACGACACTGTTAATAATAAACCACAGCTTGCACCGAAGTTTGCTACCTGGGTCTGCCTCTCTCCCCAGTGTTGCCAACTCCTCAGTAAGGAAGTAGCTATTGGCTGTCCTAGAAGTCGTTAAATGACGCCATCGCCTAATTTTCATAAAATTCTATTTGCATGTAATTGTAATGGACGCTGTAGGAGATAGGAATAACGTGACGTGGGAGAGACAAAGTGACTAAAAACACCCTAAATATGTTTAGTACTACAAATGAACTTTCTTCTGTTGATTCTTGGTCTGCTTTTTTTTTATATTTTGCTATTTAAATAGGCCATAACTTCATGACTTTAATACTTTGTCTAGACCCACATTACATAAATCAATTTTGTCCTGTATTGGTAAATGCTAGAATATCAAATTTAATCAATTCACCCTCTTTTATCCGGGCTCAGCGGCGGCTTTGCGCATGCGCGATTCGTTAGTAGTCTTGCCGCGGGGCGGAGTGGGTCTCTGCTCTGACTGCAGCTGGAACTGCTGCGCGAGGCTACTGTGAAAGTTTTCGGACGGAGGAGGGGCTCACGGAGGCACCTGCTGCACGTTGAGGACAGTAAATGCAGAGTGATACGTGCTTTCACGTCAGTCTCCAAAACACCAGAAAAGTCTCCAGTAACACCTGAAAAAGTCGCTAGATTTGTCGCTTTTGACAAAAAAAGTCGCTAAGAGGATTTGGAAAGTCGCCAAGTAGGCAGCACTGCAGTCTCTACCGCTCGCTCACTTCAGTGTGCGAACGATTTCTGACATGTAAAGGTTAAACATAAACGGAACACAATAATTGTTACCAGCTCTGATTATGCTTTGTTACAGATATCTTTAATAAATTCTTAACGCAGGTAACATTTAAAATGTATTTCAAAAGCCTTTTACACACAATCACACTAAATTAATGTAGTAACCAGCTGTAGTAAAATTGCACAACAGACATACCTACAGCACACCACTGGCTCCTGGCAAGTCTTCCAAGGCAAGAAACCTGTTCAGTTTGAACTCAAAGTCAATGGGACATTCATTGGGAGGCTTGTAGTTCCCTCTCATTATTGAGCTCAGATAGGGTATGAGCGTACAGTTCTCTTCAAACAAAGCCAGCTTCTTTTTGTACTTCTGCCGAGTGTAGTCTGTGCTTTTGTGGTTGAAAGCTGTAAGAATATAAGATTTTTTTTCGTTTGATAAAAGTTTTACTGGAGCAACAGTAAACAAAACAGCACTTAATGTAACATCCTTATCACCATCCTTATTTATTTAAGCAATTGAGACATACTATTTTACTTTGACCTAAGGCATACTCAACATATTGTTTACCTTTAAGATAGAAGGCCAGATAGAGGAGCGCTGATCTTTCTATACTGAGGAAGGGATACTTCGGTTTGAGACAGCCAACAGCTGTCATGGCTTTGATGACTGCTACTGCCACACCCTAAAAAATAGACTTGACTCAAAACAAAGCAAATATTTCAGGCAAACATTTGATGTTGATAAAAATCTCTGATAACAGGGCTATTAAATATTTTTCATGTACAGTATATTTGAACATGTCTGACCTGTTCCAAGTAGCCTAATGTTGGAAGGGAGGTGAGAGGTACAGGCTCACGAAGAGGAGGAACTTTATTGGGCAGCTTCTGGTCCCAGTAGGCTTCAGGAATCCTTCATCGATAATATAAATACACCAAGCTTCACTGAATAGACCAATAACCCTTGTTCAAAGAAAACATAAGTAGCTGACAAATATTTCTGAAACATGCACAGCTCCACACCTCAAAAACTTGTCCTGTTTCTGCTTTGACTCAAATATGTAGATCCGTTCTCTGTATTCAACAGCGTATTCGGGCTTTCCTGGAACCAGGGCTTCATACCTATGAACGATCAATTATGGTGTATATAGTTGAGGACAATATGAAAAGATCTGACACATAAAATTTATGTTCAATTCAGTTCAATTTTAATTGCATAGCCCAACTCACAACAAAAATCATGTATCATGTATGTATCATGTGTTGGCTTGTAGTGTGAAATTCTGTGAGCTGCAGATGTTGTTGACCCAACAGTTTTCTGAATGCTTGTTTTTAATAGTTTTGTCTCATTATTGTTTGCCTTGTTTACTTTGTGTACTTTGAAAATGCATTTTATGTAGAATCTTGTGAAAAGAGCCAAGAGCCACTTTACTATAACTGGTTAACTGATAAGTAACATTTACCAAAACTGATACAGTAAGTAAAAGAACTACTTATTGTTTTCAGTGATAATTTTGGAGTTTTTTAGCACTTAGACATGTGTATTCCTCATAAATGACCAAGAAGGTAAAGACCAACTTGTGCGTGCTGACCTTCTGCAAAGTGAAAAACAGCTGTTGCAGTGATATGAGGATCCTAAAATGCTTTGCAAAGATGGAATCAAGCAACTTAGAGCTTTGAAATCATGTATAACTTGTCAAGACTGTATGAAGACCAAGTCTGGTACAGACCAAAAGGCCAAAGTGTCCCACAAATGAGATGGTGTACTTTTGAATTCATTAATCACTTAATCACAGTCATAAATCTAAACACACAGACTGATATGAGACAAAGTTTTTGTTTCTATTAAAATTTATCAGAGAAAAAATAGCATGTTGGAAAAAACACACTCTATAATATAACTTATTTTGTTGCTAATACTGTATAGCTCCAAATTAACCCTTTCTGTGAAACAGGAAACTAAGATAAATAAAAAATATTACAAGACAAATATGATGTTCTGCACAGTACCTCTGATTTCCATCCAAGTAAGTAACAGAACAGAAGCCCTTCATCTCAACTTGCTGTGGGAACCTGTCCTTCACCTGAATCTGAGTGAGCTTCCTTGGCAGTAGATGGGGTTGTGGGAGTTGGTGTGGGCAGCTAGGAGTCACAAATTCATCTGGAGTGGTCAGGAATGTCTATGGTTGGAGAGCAAGAATTAAATGTTAAAAGGTTTGTTTAATGTTAAATGTACTATTAAGTTCAGATACAAGTATAACTGTTATTTTGAAAAAATTGACTTTATTTTTATCATTGGAAAAATTTTGTGTTTCCTTTGTCCTTAACTATTTAATTGTATGACATAAAAAAAATGAAAATAACTGGGTAGTTACATGTGATGTGATCTTGATCTGTGAGAAAATGTCAAGCATATCACTACTAATCTGACCTCTAAATGATCTTTGCCACACATCTTATAATACTGTCCCCTGTACTCAGCGGCATATGTTAAGACTGCAGTTTCTGAGCAGTCCACCAGGTGATAATAAAGGGCCAGGCAGACAGGGCAGTACTGGCCAAACTCTCCAAGCCGATTCTGCAGCTCCTTTGGTGTAATGCACAGTCTGCTGATACAGGCCGCTTGCCCTGTAAAGTGAAATTGTATTAAGAGGAGGAAGTAAAATTTGTCACCTTATGAGTAATCTAACAATGATCACCTTTTAATGTCTTCTTAAATTAATATGTCTACTGTTTTGCTTTGTTTTTGTTTTATTCCTAAAGCTGCATATGTCGGTGCACTTTTTCAGATTCAGTGCATAACCTGAATGAAAGTTTTCAATGCATACTATTGCAAGCTGCATATGTCGGTGCACTTTTTCAAATTCAGTGCATAAGCTGAATTAAAGTTTTCAATGCATACTATTGTGGATTGTGTCCTGCTTCCTGTTTTGTGCTTTTATTTTGGTTAGTTTCCTGTACTATGTCACATCACCTGCCCCAGCTTCACTCCAGTGCACAAGTTCTGTTCATTGCTTCCACCTGCTGCTTGGTACCACCTGGTTTCCTGTTTTTATATCCTCCTCCCTTCCCTCAGTCTGGTTGCTGGCTCATCTGATCTCCATGCTTCAATTGTTTCTGTCTCCTGTGCTCTCTCCTTGCTCTCCACACCTGGTTGTTTCCTTTGCCTTCACTTTATGTTTCTGGATGCTTGTAAGTTTGATGTTCTACTTCCTTGGTTTTAGATTCTGTATGTTTGTCATTCTGAGTTTGATACCAGAATTTAGTTCTTGGCTCCCTGACCATTTTATTAATCTTGAGTTCTGTCTTGTCAGGTAGAGCACCCAGTACTTTAGTTTCTTATTTTTGATTGTTAAACTACTGGAACCAGAGTCTACTTTAGTTTCTTATTTTTGAATAAAGATTGTTAAACTACTGGAACCAGAGTTTGTGTCTGCATTTTGGGTCCTTCCCTGCCTGAAACCTAACACATGCAGTATTTGACATGATTCAGACGTAGAAAGCCTTGCTGGTCTGATGCCTGGATAAGCTTCTAGTACTTACCATTCCATGTCCTCTCAAGGTAACTGCGGATATAGTTCATGCTGATGCTGACCTCCTTTATAATGCTATCATAGATCCACCATGTGTTCTTTAACCCATCAAGCAAGATCCAGTTCTGATACTGTTGTTGAAAGTGTTTCCTCACATGCACCACCTCCTGCTTGTAACAGGAATTGCGAATATGGAGGATCTCCGAGCTGTCGCACATTAGATGAGGCCTACACAGTGGACGAGAAAGTGGGAACAGGACATGGACAACATCTTTTCATGCCGGGAGGTTTGTGATTTTAAACGGCTCTCAGATTTGATATGGTATATTTCAGCAAAAACATGTATTTATAGTTTGTTTTAATGTGTGTTCTGACTTGTTGGGCTTCATCTTGTCAACAAGTCCTCTCTTCAGCACCTCCGCTGTGTCCAGTTCCAGTTCAATTAGTATCTTTGGGATGATGCTATGAGCTTTCATCAGTTCTGCCTGCTTAAGTGTCATTGGAAAACCATCCAAAACATATCTGGAATGCCAAAAAGTTACTGCATATATATTTTCTTTTCAAGACCTGAATTTTAACAACTGTAAACATATAAACATGGCACCACCTGTCTTACCCCTGAGTGCTGCAGACTGAGCTCATTAGCGCCACCTCCAGACAGTGAATGGCCAGTTCATCAGGCACAATGAGGCCCTGGGAGAGATGATTTTTTACTTGAACAGCCAGATTAGTGTGCTCCTGAGTGTTAAGCACCATACGTATAACACCACCAATGGACAGCCGTGCCAAGCCATATTTCTGAGCAAACATCTGTGCCACTGGAGGTAAAAGCAAACCAAAAGAAATTAAGAGAAAAAAAAAATGAAATTAAAGCGGTGAGATAAATATTTGACAAAATGTAAAACAAGCAACAATTATGAATGGGCTTATGTTTCAGTTGTCTTGAATCCTACCGGTGGTTTTTCCAGATTTGGGTGGTCCAGTGACGGCCATTTTAACAGGGAGGGTTGGGGTAGGCTTTGGCTGCCTAAGGTACTTCAACGGATTGAGGATAAATGTGTCGCGGTTCTCTTTAGATGTGAAGAAGTAAATATACTGATGGAAGATTAAGGGATATGTGGTGTTAAGCGGCCACTGCAGAGGCTGGACTAAGTCTCTCTCTTTGTATCGCTGTAGAGGGGGGAAATTGAACATGCTGTATAACATGCCGGCAAAGGCAAACTGCTCTTGTATTTTAAATAACTTTTAGTATTCTTAAGGCTTTGTCCTATCCATGATGAGGCCATTCTTAAATTATGCCTACCTTTATGGGATCCCAGCAGCCAAAGGCACTGTGGAACTTGTAAGAGGACAGCAGAAGCTTATATGCCAAGCTGTATGGGACAGGTTGGCAGTTTTGGAAAAGTGAATCCCTGTTGCTCAACAAAGGCTGGATTTTCTGAAGCAACTGATGCCGCACGATCCGCAGCTTGCGAGATGCACTGACTGACACTTTGGGTATGTTTTGCTCACTTATGAGGTCCTGAACATAAAAAAGCACAAAGCAGTATATATACTGTATCAACATAAGTAGTGTTGCTTTACAGTGGAGAGATTTTCCTAAACATGAAATTGTAGTAAAAATTATAAGGGTGTAACAATAAAAAAAACCTGTTTAGCTTTAAGTGCTGTAATGGGTTTGTGTGTCTTTGTACCGTCATAGTAACAAGGTTGTTTTCATCTGTCACAAAACGCTCTTCTATCTCCATCTCCAGCCTTTCAGTAGCTGCATCCTCCATCTCGTGCTTCTCCGTGCCTTCGTTGTCCTCTTCCAGAGGATACTCTTGCTCCAGCACTACCTCTATTTCATCCCTTATGTTGTCTGTATGCTCATCCTCATTCTCATGGTAACCAAACTGCTCAATTAGGTGATAAAGAATAGAAGAATGGGGTTATTCAGTGGTTGTTAGGGGATGATAGTGGTTATGATGAGAGTGCTAACCTTTGTTTTGGCTGTATTAATACCCTTTTCTGCCATAAGTTCAGTCCGTCTTCTGACAATGTTCTCCTCCTGTATCAGACATCAGAGTAACTGTGCCAGATATTCACACATCTGCATCTATCTCGGGGCAGACAGCACGACTAGCTCTTCAAAACAAAATGTATACTACCAACTTGCTTACCCGGTTTTTCTTGCGTATTTCACGAAGGAGGTTTAGTTGTGCTTCGCGGTGATTGCGACGCTCCCGCCAGTTCTCCAAGTATTTTGGCAACAGACGCTTCTGAACATCTGTGACATCCACTGTCATGATTACCACAACATCAGGGTAAAGCTGTTGCTGCACCATGTACTGAACCTCATCGGGGTGATGTGGGAAGCCCTCTAAAATAAAACCTGTGGACCTACAAGGTACCATGTAAAGGTTAGAATATATGTTCCATAAAATGCATAGGAGTATAGGTAAAAAAAAAGTGTAAAATGTATATGAAAGTGTATATGTATCATGGTCTGTATGTGAGACTAGGTTTTTAGGAAATGGAAGAAGTAGAAAAGGATGAGACATTTAGAAATGTATTTTTTTAAGTTTGATTTTTTGGGGAAAAAAATATTTTATTGCAAAGTTAGATGAGAAGATTGATACTTTTCTTGTATCTGTACATTAAATATGAAGCTGTCTCCAAGAGCCAGCTAACTGTTGCCTTTTAGACAAAAACAGGGTAGGTGTTTGCCCCCGATAGCCAGAGATATGAGTGGTAACAATCTTCTCATCTAATACTCAGCAAGAAAGCAAATAAGTGCACTTCACAAAATGTCAAACTTTTCCTTTCTTTAGAATAAATGCAGGAGCAGGAAGTGTGTGTTTTTGCATGTATGCGAAATTACCTGTATGGTTCTTGTATCCAGTATGGTGCGACCACATTATCCAGGATCTGTGGACTAAGTGGATCTCCATCAGAGAGGTAAGCTTTGATGGCCCTTTCCTCATTAGTCAGTATGATTTCCTGCTGTAGACACAAATGCACAAAATATTCTGTCAAAAAATTAAATTTGACCAGAATTCATCAACAGCAATTTCACACTAAATTGTGACAGCATGATGCAGGAAAACTTGCAGTAGAAAAAGTTTATCAAAGCTGACCTCCATGTCATTCATGCCAACAGAGGTACCCCCCATCTCCTCTTCCTCCCCCAAGGCTTCTTTTATCAAGTCCTCAGAAGTCTCCTCAGAAGACTCTACCTCATCAGCACAGGGCACCCGCTTATTTGTCTTGGCCATGATGAGCATTTGGAGCTGCTCCCTGAACTGAATATGGAAGAGGCCAAGCTGCTGAGCGAGCCACTCACCATGAGTGGTCTTGCCTGACCCTCGGGTGCCAAGCGTACAGATCCGCAGGGCGGGAGGCTTGGATAAAAGAAGACAAGAAATGTGTTATGGGTATATCTTCATTTTACTATGACTTGTTCTTTCCCCTCATGTCAGCTTGTACCTTGAGAGGCTCAGTTTGTGCAACAAACTGTTCAGGATTTTGAAGGAAGGAGTCTCTGGCTTCTAAGCTGGAGAAGTAGTAGGTCTTCTCTCTGTACTTAGCTGCAGTTTTATCCGTACAGGGGCACAGGGTGTTGCGGTTTTTTAAGGCCACAGGGCAGAAATGAGAGGTATCGCCTAAAAATGCCTTGGCTGTTTTGTCCCCCTGGTGTCATTGAGAGCAAGAAACACTTATTTGTCAATAGATGATTAGGATTATAAACTTTTCATTTTTAACATTAAAAAAAAAATCACTGAATGGGGCTTTTCACTGAAAAGACTTTTGTGTTTACTGACTTCATCCTCCTCTTCTGATACATTGTCACTGCTGCCTTCCTTGACTCTCTCCAACTCTGCTAAGGCCTCAGTATCCTCTGTCTGCTCGTCCAGGTCCAACGCCGACAGCTCCCAGGACACGTACCTGA